TGGGGCAGGCGGAGGGCAGGAGCTGCCCTGGGTGATGCCTGGCAGAGGGGTCGCCCCAGGGGTCGTTCACTCGCCGCCCGAAGCCTCCCGCAGCCGCACGTCCCCGTCCCCATCCCCACGCCCCGGCGCCAGTGGGCGATGGCAGCGTGTCGCCACCTCCGGGCACCGTGGCACGGAGAACATCTTGGCAGCCCAGCTGATGCCCGTCACGTCCCAGAGTCATGCCCTGTCGCTCACAGGGTCCAAGCTGTGTATCGCAGTTGATGGGCACGGAGAAGCGATGCTACAGGTCAAGGCCAAATTAGGCCAAAGCAGGGCTACATCAGCCAAGTGTCACCAGCCCACTGGGCAGGGACCCCCAGAAGTAGCTTAATGACTCGGTATCCCAGGGGCCAAGACTCCCCTGTACTAAAATGCCAAGCAAGGCATCATTTTCAGCACGGCAATGTTATAAGTGCCCTCAGGAGCCGTCAGCCTATGTAGTGACTGGGCCTGGTGCTCTTGCAGCCATTCGGAGTGGGACAATCCTAGAAACATCAGCACAGGTGGCATTTTTCCTTTGCTAGGTCAGAATTATTAATTGCATGTGGCAGGTGAGGGATGAAGGTGGGACTACGTGATGTGCCCATGAGCACAGGTTAGTAACAGAGCTGGGCATAACACTCAGGAATTATACCAGCTTTGTGCACAATCCAATATATCACTTTAACTCTTAGCTCAGTCTTACCAAATACTGTATAAGCTAAAAACACTTTGTATTTCTCTAGCACTGTTCCTCCCAAACAGCACCAAAGTACTCTACAAATGTTATAGACGTAGGCTGCAGCTACCTTGGCAATAATTGCATTGGGCTGGAGGTGTTTTCAGTCTTTGCCTTCTGGATTTGAGACAATTTTCTCCTCCACGTCCAATAGTAACACAAATAAGGAAAGCAGAGTTGGGTAACTTTGTGTAAAAAAATTACACAGTTCATATTTACAAAGCTTAATTTCAATACACTTCAAATTGGCCCCTGTCTAGCAAAGAACTGTGCCTCACATTTTTTGAGAAAAAGGCCCAAATTTTATCTTGAAATGGCCCAGCATAAATATTGTTCTGCATGAATCAAGGCCCCTTCCCAAGGCCCAGCAGCTGGAGCTTACAAAAGAGGCTAATTGAAAACGTTCATGGCCTAACAGCTACCATACAGGACATGAAGTAACCCAAAGGTTCTAATGAGTCCAGAATCAGCACTTCATCCTCGTTACAAATAAATACTTAATTGCTGATAAGAAACTCCCACCCCCCATGTTTATTGGTGGCTAGAAAAATCTCATTTTTAATTAAGTAGCTGAAATCTTTTTAATTAAACCTGCGGAAAGATCAACTCTTATGGTCAAGTAATGATCATCTTAATTTCTCTAGGCTCTAGGAATTAAGTATGAACTGATTGGAATAAACATGCATATTTCCTAGCGGTTACAGCAGGATACTGGTAATCAGAATTCCTGGATTCTCTTCATGAGTCGCCCCCCGCAATTTGTTTCGGCTTTTGTCAGGTTATTGAATTGTTCTGTTTCCCCATTCAACGCAGCGGTCCGGGTGTAACAGATATCTCACAGGAAAGACTGCCACCTTATCATTTTCAGGGTTATTCAGGTTTTCACAAGGCACACTGCACCTAACGATGTCCGCTGGGCCTGAATTCAGTTTGGGAACTGTGAAACATCAGTGCTTCACATCCCAAGGTGCAAGGATAATAGCAAAAGGTTGTATCTGATGGGTACATTTCCTGTCTCACAAGGGTTATGAAATGTAATCAGTGTTTGTAAAATGCTCTCTGATGCTCTGAGGCGGCAGAATAAGGGTGCAAAAGCATGATCTTGTTAGAGACACAGTGAAATCAACTTCTCCCTGGTTTGTCAAATGGACCAAGTGGGATTATCTTTCTTCCTGTTTCTTTTTCATGAGTTGCACCCTCTTGGGAAGATGGATTTTGGCATTTATACATCATGCTGCCAGGTGTTTAGGATGTGTATGTGTGAGTGAATGTCCTGGACCGTCCATAAGGAAACTGTAAGTGTGTTCCTTTACCTGGGACTTGTCAACTCTACCCTCCTCCTCCTCAATTCTTTTGGATGCCCCGCACATTGAGAGGAGGGAGGGGAGAAAGGGAGGGAGAGTGAAAGGGGGAACAACACTGGAGCAGAGTACTGGTAGTTGCGGTGACTGAATATGTCCAGGTTCTGCATGAAAGAGCAAAAGGAGAGGCTGTTCATGTATTGTACTCAACTAGGTCCTGATTTAAATTCCACTGAAGCCAGTTTCAGATAAAGTCAATTCAATGAGAACATACTGGTGTGACTAGTTCTGCAAGTGCTGGCAAATGTAAGATAGTCCTCCAACACCTGGCTAGCAGGGTTGGCATCATGCTCATACCCAGGATAGGGTCACACAGTGTGTCTGGTTTTAGATCCCCCATGTCCATTTCTCGCTTCTGATCCAGTGACAGGTTGTGATGTGCATCGCCCTCCCTGCCATGCCTCTCCTTGCTCCTAGGGTGAAAGAGAGGAGAGGCTCCTAGTCAGTGCAAAGGGCTTTGGATCAGGCCCCTGCTGAAGAGCTGGACCAAAATAGTTTAGTCACCAAAAAACTTCAGCAACTCCCAGGGTCCTCACTGGCCTTAAAGGAATCTTAAACACTGCTCATTGCAGTGACCTGCAGAGACTGGAAATCCCCTTTGAATCCCTTGCCCCCAAATAACCGTCTGTTAGGGGAAAAAGCTAGCAGCTGCAAAGCTTTCACGATTCCTTCAGCCACACTCAAGAGTGACTCTCCAGCCACAGCACTATTGCACATGCTGGAAGCTTTTGTTGTGGGCTCATTTCCATAGGTGGGGAAGGGGGGAAGGAAGAGGGAGTGGTGCCTTTAAGTGATATCACCCTTCCCTGGAAGTCGGACAAGATTGGCAGTGGCACACAGTTTCTATGGCAACAGCAGACGCTGTCTGCATCCCTGGGCCAGGCCCAGCAGGGAAGGGCTTCTTCCCCAGGACTCTGCACCTCCGCCTCCAGGACCTCGGGAGAAGGCCCCTCCCCAGGTGCGCTTTTACATGAGCTTTGGGAACCCTGATTGTGTCTTGCTTATTGTGGTTTACAGCCTGATCCTGAGCAGTACCCAATATCCAGAGCTGGGGACAGCGCCTGCGTGTATTTTATGGGGCACAGCCTGCTTGGGGCCACTTGTCCCACTGCAGCCTGGATCCAGTAAAGAGCGGCTGAGTTGCCGTGTGCTAATCCAGTGCAGCAGGCCCATGCCTGGTAGGGGTTGAGCCCCACTGTGCAGGGGGCTGCCTCTTGGCAGTAAGGCATCTCCTGTGTCGCTCACACAGCCTCCTTTAGTTCTTTGTGGCGTGGCTGACTAGTTCCTGCATCCCACACTGGAATCAGAGAGTCAGGGGTGCTCAGCACCTCACAGTATCAGGCCTTCTAGAGCAAATCCTCCTTGAATGTAGAATTTCTGGTGAAATGTTTGTGCAAATTGCACTTCCGTCGGGGTCAGGGGAGACATAGTGAGAACATATTTATTTGCTCATGTTGTGAGGAAAGAAACAATGGTGACATTAAGCCCAATCCAACTACCAACTGAATTAGTCTCTGGTCCTGCTAAAACAAATGTCGTATGTCCGTCTTTAAGGGAAAATGTCCCAATATGTAGCATGTATAAGCATTAAAATTCCCTGGAGTTTGGACTAGATCTTTAATCTTTTAACCTTTAGCCTAGCTCTACGTGTGTATGTATACATTATACATTATGCCATTTTCTTATTGGATTCATTTAATTAGTGGCTTTAAATACTATCTTCCTGTTCTTCCCTCATCATGTCAATGTTTCCAACTTCCAAGTGATGGCAGGTACTGGTATGTAATTAATCAAACCTCACAGCAACCTTGAGGTTGTGTTATTATCACCACTCTATAAATGGGGGAACCAAATCATGGAGAAGTTATATGACTTACCTAAGGTCCCAGAGGGTGGCACCCAGCACCTGCTGAGGTCCAGGAGACTTTTTCCATGGACTTCAATGGGCACTGGATCAGACCCATAGCTAGTAAGGGCCCAAGCAAGGACTAAGTACACAGCAGTTCCAACTTTCCTTCCCCTACTCAAATGACTAGATCAGGCAGCTTCATCAGTAGCTGCAAGGGATCAGGACCCCCTAATTGCTCAGAACAAACTCGTTTTCCTCCCCTACAAGTGTAATTAATAAAAGGGAAATCCATGAATTGGTATGTGTTAAGTTGTCCATCAGGGGGAGCCAATCTGAAACAAAATAAATGGACAGAAGGCCACCATGCTCTGCATGATAAAGAAGCTCATGAGAATCAGTCTCAGTTTAGCACAATAGCTTGTACTTAACGTGATCAATTGTTATTAGCTTTGTCTGAATTATATTTCAAGTCTTAGTATTTTAAATATATTCTATAAGATCACTTTGCATAGTGACAGTACTGTAAAATCAGTGCTGTCAGCCTCACAGGTTCAGAAATCATGAATCCAGGCACCCAAATCAGGACCTGGACTTTAAAATCATGATTAAAAAAATATATATGTTGTTCTGTTTTCCTTTTGGGTTTTGAGCCTTGGGGATTATTTACTTCTTGTTTTTAAGCCTTCCTTTGCAGTCAAAAAGACTAGAAATTTATCTTGTTTTTTAAATGGAAGCTGAGTTGTTAACGCAGTCTTATGGTTTCAGCAGCTGGGACTTTAAGAAAATCAGTACAGAGCACAGACTTGTTGGCAATGTAGTAAAGAAATACATTTAGCTGAATCTGATTCAGGTGTAAATACTGGATGTGTTCTTTTTCCCTAGTTCAGAGGAGGAGGCCAAGAAGATGATCTTGATGAGTATAAAAATATGAATATTCAAATAACAAAAGCAGTCAGATGTTTTACAGGCTTCTCTATTATTATCTCTATTATTCCTTGTCTCTTGTCAGGCATTGCTGTAGAGAAAAATGGATCCAGAAGAGGCCATGGGGCTGGCAGATCCAGGACAGGAGGCTGAGGAGTCAGAGTATTTTAACCCCCTCCTGAGACCTGTTCTCTTGGGAGAAGTGGAGGGTGTACAGCAGATTTTTGAGGACCCAGAGGACCCCAACTATGAAAAAGCCATGCAACTGCTGTTGGAAAAGGACGTTATTGGCAGAGACCTGCTGTATGCAGCATGCATGGTTGGACAAAGCGAAGTCATCAGAGCACTGGCCAAATATGGGGTAGACATGAAAGATAAAACACCCAGAGGTATGTATCAGGACTGGGCCCCATGCCTGCTCACTCCCACCCTGTTCCACCTCCTATCCAAGTCAAAGCAAAGACTCCTTTTAGCTTCTCTGGGACAGGACCTGGACTACTACTCCTCAATCCTAAGACCTTTCTCACTGGGAGGGTGATCAGGCATTGAACTGGGCTATTAGTCTGCTGCTTCCCGGGGGCCCGCATCCGGGACATTGCAGAGAGGATCCCAAAGCTCCTCAAACCCACAGACCACTATCCCATGCTTCTAATTCATGTGGGCACCAATGACACAGCTCGGAGCGCTCCCAGCCGGGTCATGAGGCGCTACAGGGATTTGGGAGCGGGGCTAAAGGGTCTGGGGGCACAGGTAGTGTTCTCGTCGATCCTCCCAGTCTCAGGCTACGGGCCGAGGAGGGAGAGGAGGATCCATGTGGTCAACCAAAGACTGCAGCGCTGGTGTCGTCAGGAAGGCTTTGGCTTTCATGACCACAGCCCGCTCTTTGGTGAGAGAGGCAGCGAGCTGCTGGGAAGAGATGGCCTCCACCTCTCTCCCCTAGGGAGGAGGCTCTTCTCAGCCAGACTGGCTGACCTGCTCCACCAGGCTTTAAACTAAGCCCGCTGGGGGACAGGGGCACTACCACCACTGCTGGCCCGCTGAGCAATCCTTACAAAGCCAGCAGGTCAAGGCACTTAAGGGAGCCCAGCCCTGGCAAAATCTGTGGGCAAGGAAGGAGCCCCCCAGGGGGCACTTGCTTGCCTGTACACAAATGCCAGGAGCTTGGGGAATAAGCAGGAGGA